ACATTGCAATAAAGATAACGATCGTAAAGGTAATTTATATTCGTTAAAGTAATAAGTAAGAAAAGTACTTAGAATTCAATCTAATTTTATTTAAACTCGTACCGTCAACACTGGCATACAACGAGCCCCTGTCGGCACAGGGATACCGCTAACCAGTATACCACTAATCCTAAGCTAACTAAGTCTACAGTCCCATACCTACCATCCCTGAGTCATCCCCGCACGAGAACTAATTACAAGACTATTAAACTACCCAGTACCCTCCCTGGTCCAAGTTTGCAACCTCTCTGGTATAAAGCCAACCGGCACTAAACGTAGCCGAAGCTAATTAAAAAGACCGACGCGACCAGGTTCCTTGTCCAACAAACATGAAAGCACTACTACACAGTCTGAAAACTGTCCCGTGAAACCTCTACCACAATAGAAAACCAACAAAACCCAAACAAAACCTACAGGCAACACAAAGGCATGGAGGAGGAAACCAACATGCCAACCTCTCCCATCCGCATACAAGGCCATCGACCCTATGAACCCACTTTGCCGGTTGCCTCCATAGAGCGTACTGGTGAGGAGGACCTGTACCTACTGCCTGTCCCCCAAAAAAACAATACAAACAAGAGAAATACATAGAGGTGGTGACAGACCGAACAGGTCAGTGGGGCCTATCTCCTACCTGTGGTGCCATGCCTCCTCCTACTAAACCTGTAGCCAAACCAAACAAATCAAACAAACCCCACAAAATCCAACTTGTATGACTCAAACAAGTCCAACCAGGTGGTCGCAATCCACTATCTGCACAGGTGGCCATCAACCCATCAGTCCAAAGAGGAGCTTTGCAGCACTCAGTAACTTCGTTCAATATCCTAAGCCGGGCCAGAAACACTTAATTAAACCTCGCCCATCCTGACGCAGGCCTGACTGGTGCTTGCAGGCACCTCTCCCTCCCCAATCAGTCCCCCCCAAGCACCACACGCCAGACGCCACAGAGTCCATCCAGCCCCCCAGCCTCTCAGGCTGACCAACTATCTGATAGCCACAGGACCGCCTATAACTAGCCCCATCAGGCAGCTACTAGTCTTGGCCACACCAACAGAGCCCTAACCCCTAGCACCTTGTAGCCAAGGGAAGCCCACCAGCCACAGCCGGGAGCCACAAAGGAGGCAGTACTAGTACTCGAAGATACCAGTACCAGCCACACCATTCAACCCAGTTGAACCAAAGTTCAACCAAGTTGAAAAAGAGTAAGCAGAGTTAGCCAAAGCCAGCCCCACAGGTCAGGCAATAAGCACAGACTGAACAACGGGCAAGAGACACCCCCAACTAATACAACATGAAGGGGGAGGCTGAGTGAACAGGAGCAGACAAACAGAAGGTAGGCCCAACTTGCAATAGGTGAAGCCGCCAACCATAGTCCATAACCGAACCACCTAAACACACAGACAACCTGCGTGTCTAGCAGCCAATCGTCCCACACCACCCCAGGCAGCAACAATAACCACACCAGGGGCTAAGAGTTTTTAGGGTCAAAGCCATCCCCACTGAGGCAGGAAGGAGACACTTGACTGAACTCCCGTAAATGCCGCAAGGATAAAACTTCCAAGAGAATGGTGATAAACAACATAGTAGGATTCCGATCTTAGAAATGTAATGTAATGAGGAGGGGCTGGGCATGCACTACCCTGCCGCCAGAGGAATGATGCAGCCAGTACGATGAGTTGAACTTGGGAAGGTCATTAGTCTAACCCAAGGGTATTTTGTATCGTAAGAACTAAGGGCTCCATTAAAACCCAACAACCATGAGCTGGCCCAAAGAACGACAAGGGTGATATCCCCGAACACAATGTTCTATCCCCCCCAATCGAACGCGAAACCTGTGAGTAGGACATATACAGGAAGCCGAAGATATTTTACCAAAAGGGGATCGTAAGAGACCGTGATAAATAGCTCAAAGTACCAGCATCTTGAGATAACCAGCAAGCAATGAAACGAGAAGCAAACAAATAGTCCGCCACGCAACACTAACAAACCTCAACACTAAGAATCCCAGGAACTACTGAGTAAACTCAGATATCTCCCCCAGAATCCAAGGCATCACGGCCCATTATGGGTGTGAAAGATACACTCTGGGCAAAGCAATGGCAAGGACGTGGAAAAGTACTTAGAACAAAGCGTGAAGAACCTATCCTCCTCTGCCACATCAGCCTCCTTATATAGTGTTCTTCCCGCCCATAGTCATGTGACCTAAAGTGGTCACATGTGCAAAACCAAATCATAACAAACTAATCATATGACCAAAAAGGTCACACGCTCAAAACCCATGATCTCATAGCAAGGTTATGTATGAAAACTCATAAACCAATCATAACGCAATAAACAAGTCATATGACTCGAATGAGTCATATGCAAGAAACCCATGACCTCATAACCAGATCATGTGCTAAACCTAAATCATATACGTAAGGCATACCCGCAAGGCATACTCGCCAGGCGCACGTCCCATGACTCATATTTGAGCCATGTACAAAACATAACATAATAAGTCATATGACCCAAATGAGTCATATGCGTGAAACAATAACATATCTATGACTCATATTTATGAGTTATGTGAAAACCTTTTCCCATGCCAAGCCATATTTGTAACACCTATCAGAAAGTTTTTAAGTTTATTTTCAGCGCAGAAAATCAAATCAAATATATTGTTAGTGCATTTCATTTACCTACTACTAGTATAATTTAATCTATAGCTAACAGATAATCTGAGAATTTTTGTGTGCCTCATGTGAATTGGCTTCCGGTAACTGAATGAGCCAACTACACTTTTACTGACGAGATGTTTATTAAAATTGGCGGCATTTATGGTCCGTCTAGAGTATGGCAAGAGAAAGGCGAGTAGTGGCATGATGATTGTATTGGAGTTAAGAAGAAGAGAGGGACTATGGTGATGTGCTGGGAAATCATAAGTTGAAACTGAAAAGAACCATTCTGGATGTGAGAACCAGAAATAGAGAAGAACAAGGTCGCTTCCATTGAGGCTATAAGAGTTTACAATACAAATTGCAGGGCAGAAGAGGAGGGGTTGAATAATTATTGGAGGTTAAGTGACCGGTGGAGGCAATTAAAAAAGCAGGAGTTGAAGGCACTATAGGAGGCAAAGGTTGAAGCTCAGAGAACGGGAGTTAAGATTAAAACTACTCAGTCATGGAGAGGGAAAAAGTATAAGGTGTAGGCGCTCAAGAAAGGAAGTGACCCTCATGAGGTAGATTCATAGATGTATGTTACTGCTCTTACCCAGCCACTGCTTTGGCCTACTTACAAGGAGCATATATTGTGAAATCCCAATTTTCTTTTAATAGAAGACAATACTCCTGCTCATTACTCAGACTTTACTACATTAGAAAGAGTTAAAGTAGGTATACCGAAGGTGGATTGGCCTCCCAATTCGCCTTATTTTAACCCTATTAAGCATTTGTGACAGTTGATGAAGTTACAAATACAAATACAACGGGGGCATGAGTGAGTTACAAGTGTAAGTGAAATGAAGGAGGTATTATAGCAGGAATTGGAGCAGATTACAGTTCAGGAGATTAATAAAGAGATATCTAAGCTTCCTAGAGTTATGGCTAAATGTATTAAACAGCAGGGTGGAAACAAGTTCCATGGCTAAATAGATGGAAGAGCCAGGCAGTAGCAAATTCTATAGCTAGTTATTTTGTTGAATATACCAGATTTTAGATTGCACTAAGTACCTGTGGCCTTGGCGCCAAGGTGTCCGAATACTTTTGAAATTTGTTAGTACTCGAGTAGTCGTACTAGTACAGGGTAGGTGCTGTGCAAATGGAACCATACCGGGGACCTCGAAACCAGCAAAACCTGTTGTTTAATCAGTCAATGGCAACCATGGATTTCAATGAAGAAAAAAACTGGAGATGTACTCGTAGGTAATCCTGTGCAGAATAATCAAGAGACTTTTTTTTTTTAACGAAGTGTTTATTGAGAGGAATTTGGAGGTGGGGGTCAAATTTTTGGTGAGAGTGAAACAAGGGACCCAATCAACATAGAGCAGGCTGGAAACGAGGCTAGTCCAGGCACCGTAGACCACCGTACTCGTAATGTGAGTGGGTAGGCAAGACATGCTTATGTAATACTATTGTAAAAATAATACTGCCTTCACAATACTGATGTTGGATATTTTAAAAATGCATCGAGGTGTTTCCTCAAAACATAATTGTAGTTATCATTGCTGGTGTTTTGATTTATTTATTTTACTGAATAGATAATTCTAAAGATATCTGCTTCATTCGCTGTTCCGCTTGTTGCCGGAAGGCATACAGAACTGTCTTGTATGGCAACTCCTCACTGGTGTTGTAGCGTTTCTTGGCCCAATCCCGATCGGTTGCAACAGGATTCTTGTTTCATCGGAGCACCCGCCAGCCGCTTTGCACCGTAGGAAGTTTGTTGGATGGGGAGAAAAAGTCGGGTCGGGTTGTTGGGGTTACGGCACAGTACGAGTATCATAGCCCACGTTACGATACGAGATCCACCTTTGCGTAGTCCTCTGGGCTCCAGCCTCCCCGCGTCTTTTCCACTTCCGGCTGCGTGAAAGGTGAGAAGAAAAAGCCCACCCCCGATTCACCATCGCTATCTTCGCCGACATCATCTTGGATAATACCGTAGAAATTATCGCAGGTTTGAAATAAAATGAGATCAACTACCGCTACTCCCTTCACTTCCAAAAGCTCTGGTTGTTACCATACCGACATGGTAATAATTGCGGTTGCTGGAGTACCGTATCATACTCGAGTACACAGTTTGCTGAAGTGCACAGGTGACGATCGCATTAACCACCAGGAAAACTTGGGTGCGCCACGCTCGTGGCTGCTGGGCTGAGCCTCCCTCCCCGGGACGCGCACCAAAAATAACCGCACCTCGATGGAATTTTCAAAAGGCCCACCATGACATGAAAATAACCATTTTCTTTGTTGCCTCTCTGGATTATGGTACTTTTCATCGCCCCTTAATTCTATGGGAATACTGGTATCCCTTTATACATATTGATTTGGTTTGGCCACGCTGCCTGCGTTGCCACCCAAGTTCACATACAAGTATCATACATTTCTCAAACATACCCTACCCTACCGCAGCTCCGGTTGCCTCCTCGCCCAATCTCCCGCCCTTGTTTGCGACCGAGCAAGTCAACCATCCCTCTCATCATCAGCACCACCCTTCCCATCCATCCATCTCCATCAACCCTATCCCCCATCCAAACTACACCTAACAACTACAACTGCAACTACAATCTCCCCGTTCACGAGTCTGCTTTTTTCACGTCGCTCGCCCTTAACGAATCCTTTTCACTCTAACCAAGCTCACCTCTCGCAAAACTCATAATGTCTGACCAGCCGTACGATCCTTACATTCCCAGCGGTGGTGCTGGCGGTAGTCAAGGACAGCCTGGAGGTCCTGGAAACCAGAGGACTGCAGCTATTCAAGCGGTTAGTTTCCCCTTTTCCCTTTCACCTGTCTGGTTATTTCGAGTGCGGAACGAACCGAGTGGCCCCTGGCTCTTTGTTGAGTTTTTGTGGGGGATTGCTTCTGGGCCGCGTATGTCAGGGGGGAAGGTGAAGTAGTTCTCGACAACAAAGTTGTGCGATCTTACCTTGCCATCTTTGATTTACCGTTCCCGCGAACCCTCATTGTTCTCTACCTCTCTCGTAGGAGGGCAGCTGGATATCTGGTGCGGCGGCGCGACGAAAGCTTGCCGTGGGGTCACTTCAGCCCCAGTCGCACCCTCTGCAGCAGCATACCTATCTTTCTCGGTTTATCCCGCGCGCGATGTTCCATGACCTTTTTGCCTTTCCTTCTTTTTTTACTTTCTTTTATATGAAACCTCTTTTTCTATGAGCCCTTCCGATATTGGGTACTTTTGCTGGGGTGAGGCTGATGACGAACTTGTTTTTAGCAAATCGACGATACCGTCGGAATCATGCGGGAGAACATCAATAAGGTCGCCGACCGTGGCGCCAGATTGGACAGTCTCCAAGATAAGACTGGTTAGTAACCATTCACTATTTTTTTTCTTTTTTCTTCCTGAGGGAGGAATTTCAGCCCTGTGAAATGAAATGCTGACATAATACGCTCATCCTCAGACAATCTTGCTGTGTCTGCGTTGGGTTTCCGCCGCGGGGCTAACAGGGTCCGAAAGCAAATGTGGTGGAAGGACATGAAGATGCGCATGTGCATAGTTGTTGGTATCATCATTCTTTTGGTTATTGTCATCGTCCCAGTCGTTATCAGGTTCGTTCAATTTCCCTCAGCCCCGACCCTGGATATATGCCTAGAGCATTTTCTAACGGTGCACCGGGTATAGTCAAACTAAATAATCGAGTTGTATGGGAGAGGTTGTTTGGTTTTTTCTGGCGCGGGAGCGGTTTTCATAGACAGGAGAAGAGGGCAGCTCGGCTTTACGGTGGTCAAGGGGTCCTGGTTTGGGGCGGTGGGAATCATGTCTGACGACAATCCGACAATGAATGGGCATGAGAATCACGACGAGAAACTTTCACATGAAAACAAAACAAAAGTAAGCAAGCAGAAAATATTCCAATTCTCAATATGACTTTTTGGGTTTTGGAATTGGGTCAATGGGATGCTTGGCTGTCTTTAGGTTGTGGGGACCGGCGAAATTCTTGTTTTCTTTCCTCCTTTTCTTTGCTTTTCTTTTCTCTTTACTGTGTATCTGCTGGAATTCCCTTTGTGCTGTTAGTTTTGATGGAAACGTTTTTTCACTGTAACTTCAAGCTATCCTCGCTTTTCGTTCTCATCTCCTCTTGCTCCCCCCTCGACCGGCCAATACCGGGGAACCTGGAGTAGCCAATTCGACCGTTCTTCCCCTTGTGCCATCTGGTAGCTTCTGCTTGTTTGAGCGATTCCGGGGCCAAGAGAACGAATGAGAGAAGGGCTATTAAAGGGGGAGATGGTGAGTACGGTACCGTATGAGTACGAGTATGATACTCGTACACTCCAAATACTTTATGGGAGATTATTAATCTGCTATCGTAATAATATTATTTACTTTTTTTGCTTTTATTTTTATTTTATCAAGGTTTTTTCATTAAATTTTTCAATCGCCCATGAAGATCATAGTATACTCGAGTAATATATCATCGCCCAGCCTATCTTTCACATGAGTTAAGTCCGCTGGGCCGGGGATGGCCATCGCTTTGACTGACTTTGCCTGCGCCTTTACCTGTAACTTAACCCCACGATGAGATAAAACTTTCTCGTACTGTACCGGCATCACCTGCGTGCGGGGTGGGATGTTAGTGGTCTATTGCCAAGACGTGTGGATGGAGGGGGAGGAATGGGCGCAGGTGGGAGTGAGGATGGCCGCATGAAGAGATTTACTCAGAATGAGTGAATGAATGACCTCTGGGTTCGCCCGGAGAGAGAATGGATCCTTGTATTATTATTTTTTTTCGATGATGTTTCCTTGAATTGCTCAATTCCTATTTTCCCTGAAACCTCTCTTTTGCCTCTTTCCTCCTACCGTACCCTTGGTAATAGTCCTTCCATCGTCTTTATCGCTGTCGAGCTGTTTCTCCGGGGCCCTCTGACCCGCTTAGAGCTGACACAACCTCAATCCAGCGGTCTTGCCCGGCCGTATAAGTGCGGCTCATTTCGAACTGTGAACTCATCCTTCGGTTTGCTCGCGAGGACATCTGGCAACGTCTCTCTCTTTTTTCTTTCCTTTTTCTCCCCCTCTTTTCGTTGATAACCCTTTTCCTTTCCGTGCTGCTGCCACTCTGCATTTCCCTCTCATTCATTGCTTCCAACAGTTATGTTGTCTGGGCTCCGCAACTCATCTAGGCGGTCCGTTCGCCTACCGACTTTTAGGAACTTGCGTGTGATTCGCCCCGCTGCCCCAATTCCCTCAAGTTCTTCGACCTGCCCACTCCGCATAACTGCTTCGTCATACGCTACCACCAGCCTCTCCCCATCGCCGTTATCCACTCGGTCCACCGTTATCCAACTGCTAAATAACATTGGGTCCAAGAGGGAGGTGGAGCAGTACCTGTCACACTTCACATCTGTTCAGTCCCAGCAATTTGCCGTCATTAAGGTGGGCGGGGCGATCATTACGGAGCACTTGGATTCGTTGTCAAATTCGTTGTCCTTCCTTAACCATGTCGGATTGTTTCCCGTCGTCGTTCACGGCGCTGGCCCACAGCTTAACAAGATGCTAGAGGCAGCAGGTGTGGAACCCCAATTCGAGGATGGGATCAGGGTCACGGATGGAAAGACCCTTGCCCTGGCAAGACAATTGTTCCTGGACGAGAACTTGAAGCTTGTCGAAGCCTTGGAGAAGCTCGGGGTTCGGGCCAGGCCCATCACCGGCGGTGTTTTCCAAGCCGACTACCTAGACCGCAAGAAGTACGACCTCGTGGGAAAGATCACAAGCGTCGATAAACGTCCCATTGAGGCCGCTATCAAGGCGGGGTGTCTTCCGATTTTGACGTCAACGGCGGAAACTGCTGAGGGGCAGCTGTTGAACGTCAATGCGGATATTGCTGCTGGTGAACTCGCACGGGCCCTCCAGCCCTTGAAGATCGTGTACTTGTCCGAGAAGGGTGGTCTATTCAATGGCGAAACTAATGAAAAGATTTCCACCATCAATTTGGACGAGGAGTACGCTGGCTTGATGGAGCAGTGGTGGTGCCGGTTTGGGACGAGGTTGAAGATCAAGGAGATCAAGGAGTTGTTGGATGGACTGCCCAGGACTTCCAGCGTTGCTATTATTGCTACCGAAGATCTCCAGAAGGAGCTCTTCACAGATACCGGCGCCGGGACTCTCATAAGGAGAGGTAACAAACTTACCGCCATGTCTAGTATTGAAGGATTCGAAGATAGAACACGGCTGGAAGAGGTTTTGGGCAGAGAGAAGAACGACGTTTCGGAATATTTGAGCTTTTTACAGACAACTAAATTCAAGGCGTACGCTGATGAGCCCCTCGAGGTTCTGGCAATTGTCCTTCCGAGTGAGAGTACCAACGAGCCTGCGAGGCTGGATTTCTTCTCGTCGACTAAAGCTGGGTGGTTGGGCAACGTGGCTGATAATGTCTTCAACTTAATCAAGAAGGAGTACCCCAGGTTGGTTTGGTCTGTTAGGCAGGGTGACGGACAGTTGGGCTGGCATTTCGACAAGTCTCAGGGAAGCTTCAACCATGGGGGCCAAGTTCACTTCTGGTACGGATATGAGGGACCCGAAGAAGTTAAGTCATTGATTGGGGGCTTCTTGGCTGATGCCGGTAGCCGCGAGTCTGGAAAGTCTGAAGGAGCTGTCACTGGTGTCAAGCAACAGGTTAGGGGTTTCTCGGCGTCTGCGGGGCCGGGCTCGCGATGGGCTGCTTCTATGGGATCTGTTCTTCGTCACCCGCGACGAGGATTTGCCTCTACAAACCCGAACCCACCCTTAGGCTCAAGTAACGCGACCAACAACAAGCCTTCCAAGGTAGCGCTTATTGGCGCTAGAGGTTACACCGGACAAGCTTTGATAACTCTCATCAATTCTCACCCACATTTCGATCTTACCCATGTTTCATCTCGAGAGCTGGCTGGAAAGAAGCTTGAGGGATATACCAAGGATGGGAAGGAAATCGTCTACCAGAACTTGGGTGTTGAGGATATCAGGAGGATGGAGGAGAACGGTGAGGTTGACTGCTGGGTTATGGCTCTCCCCAATGGCGTTTGCAAACCATTTGTAGATGCTGTTGAGGATGTTGGAAAGGGCAAGAGCGTGATTGTCGACTTGAGTGCCGACTTTAGGTTTGACAGCAAATGGACTTATGGATTGCCTGGCATGTATATTCTCACTGTGATTGAATTGGGCGATTGCGCTGATAAATTGGGAATTTAGAGCTTGTGCCCAGAGAGACCTTGACCAAGGCTTCTCGTATCTCCAACCCCGGGTGTTACGCTACCGCAGCTCAGATTGCTATTGCACCTTTAGTACCATACCTCACCGATTCTCCTACCATATTTGGTGTATCTGGTTATTCTGGGGCTGGAACAAAGCCAAGTCCTAAGAATGACGTCGATCAGTTGAGGGATAACTTGATGCCTTACAGCTTGACCGATCATATCCACGAACATGAAATCGAAGCTCGACTTGGCGTCCCGGTTGCTTTCATTCCTCATGTCGCAGTTTGGTTCCAGGGGATTCATCACACTGTTAGCGTTCCGTTGGCCAAGGAGATGACTTCTCGTGAGATTAGGAATTTGTACCAGGATAGATACGCCGGGGAGAAGCTCATCAAGGTTACTGGGGAGGCTCCTCTTGTCAAGAACATTTCTGGCAAGCAGGGCGTGGTGGGTTTATATATATCTTCCATGTCCGTCGGGGGGGGGGGTGACTCTGCTGACAATAAACAGGAAGTCGGTGGCTTCGGCGTCCACTCCTCCGGTAAGAGAGTAGTTGTCTGCGCAACTATTGACAATTTGCTTAAGGGAGCTGCCACACAATGTCTTCAGAACATGAACTTGGCTCTCGGGTATGGCGAGTACGATGGCATCCCTTTGGGCTAAGCGGGGTTTTGGTTTGGGAGAAGGATTTCGGGCTGGCGGTGGAGTTTGACTAGTTCTTTTCTCCTTTGGACTATCATATCTTTTTTTCTTTCCCTTCCTCTCTTGCTCTCTAGTTTAACTTCGTATTTCTAGGTTTGTGTGTCGCTTTTTGCGAAATAAAAAAAGCGCTTTTTTTCGGTTTAGGGTTGAGAGGCACTGTCAGTGGATCTGCGGATTGGTTGGTTGGTTGTATATATATACCATAAATCGGGGGTTTAACTTATCGTATTATACAAGTATGGTACTAGGGAGGTTGAAATGGTGGCTTTGGGGGTATATTAGATAGTTGGACCATTTGGTGAGCTTTGATGGTGACGTTGGGGGTAGGATGAGAGTGGTGGCTTCCTATTTGCGCTGCTCCTCAGCCTAGTATTTTGCGGGATGAGTTTGGGTGTTGGGCACCTTGATTTCTATCGATTTAGTTGGGATGCTACTGTACAGTAGCTCGCCCGCAATCATGAATCATATAACCAAAATAGTATCATACTACTTAGTATCATGCCGCTATTTGACCTGCCAAGAGCCTACTAGGGCCGAGTGATAATCGTGTGGAAAATATTTTGTAACTTACCCTATTGATCTTGTTCGAATTAACCTCTGATAATAAATAAACCTCGGATCAGATAAGCTGAAATGTGTGGGACAGAAACTGCCCGGGGTTCCACCCAATCGGCCAAGAGCGGACTCTTGGGTAGCTTAACCCGAGAACCGAGTGCAACCGTGCCCAACAAATGATATTCTCCTCCGATCCAGACCCGTTGGCCCACCCGCTCGAATCCCCTTCTGTTCCTTTCTTCTCCTTCACACCTGCATACTCGCACCCCCTGTCCTCGCGGGAAACATTCATACACGAACCCTTTTTCCCCTCAATTCACCATGTCTACCAGAGCATTGAGTTGCAACCTTGGTGGAATTGCTTCTCGCATTCGTCTTGTCTACGCTGGCCAACGCAATGCCTCGACTCTGGCCCAGAAAGACCTTAAGGATACGCTTAAGGAGATTATTCCCGCGAAGCGTGAAGCGCTGAAGAGGCTTAAGGCAGAGCATGGACAGAAAGTGCTCGGGGAAGTTAAGGTTGAGAATGCTATTGGTGGGATGAGGTCTGCTTTTCTCTCCCGACGCTCTCATTTGTATAATGGTTTTCTAATGGGATGGGTGAACAGAGGTATCAAGGGCATGCTCTGGGAAGGCTCTGTTCTGGATGCCAATGAAGGGATTAGATTCCACGGAAAGACGATCAAGGACTGTCAGAAGGTCTTGCCTAAGGGGACTTTTGGGGAGGAGATGCTTCCCGAGGGAATGTTCTGGTTGCTGTTGACTGGACAGGTTCCTAGTGTCGAGCAGGTCCGTGGGTTGAGCAGGACGTTGGCCGAGAATGCGGGATTGCCGGATTTTGTTGGGCTGATGTTGGATAATATGCCGACTACCCTACATCCTATGACACAATGTGTGTCCTCTCCTTCCCCCCGCAGATAGAGATTCGAGCTTACGATTGTGATAGTCGCAATCGCTGTCTCCGCTCTAAACCATAACTCCAAGTTCGCCAAACTATACGAGAAAGGTTTATCAAAAGCCGACTACTGGGAGCCCACGTTCGACGACTCCATCTCCCTCCTGGCTAAGCTCCCCACTATTGCCGCCAAGATTTACCAAAACACCTACCTCGGCGGTGGCCCACTCCCGTCCCCTGTCGCGACCCAGGATTGGTCATACAACTACGCTGCAATGCTCGGAAAATCCGATAACACCGGTTTTGTAGACCTCCTGAGACTCTACCTCGCGCTGCATGGCGACCACGAGGGCGGTAATGTATCCGCGCACGCAACTCACCTCGTCGGCAGCGCACTTAGTGACCCCTTCCTCTCGTACTCTGCCGGTCTCCAGGGTCTCGCGGGGCCTCTCCATGGCTTGGCAGCGCAGGAAGTGCTTCGGTTTATCCAAGCAATGCGCAAGGTAGTCGGCGACACCTACTCGGACAAGGATATCGAAAATTACCTCTGGTCCCTTCTCAACAGTGGGCAGGTGATCCCCGGCTACGGCCACGCCGTCCTTCGCAAGCCGGATCCCCGCTTCGAGGCGCTCATGGGTTTTGCCGAGTCCCGTCCCGAAGTGGCGGAAGGAGCCGTATTTAAACTCGTCAAGAAGAACAGCGAGATCGCGCCAAGGGTTTTGACGGAGCACGGGAAGACCAAGAACCCGCATCCGAACGTGGATTCTGCTTCCGGCGTTTTGTTTCATCATTATGGGTAATTTAATTTCCTTTTTCACCCTCGGTCTTCCCCTTGCGGAGTATGGTCTAATAGTTTGGGCGACGGTAGAATCAACCAAGACCTGTACTACACCGTTACTTTCGGCGTGTCGAGAGGCTTGGGTCCCCTGGCACAGCTGATCTGGGATCGAGCTCTCGGCTTGCCGATCGAGAGGCCCAAAAGTCTTTCCATGGAGGCGATTTCCAAGGCTATTGGCGCTTGATTTCTCTTCTCCGATGTGAGATGATACCTTGTAAGTTAGGTTGGTTGAAAGTCTAAGAAATAGAACAAAAACAGAAAAAGTATCTTCATAGAATATCACTGGTATTTCTGATTGTGGTTACGAAAGTCTTGCACGGTCTAATTTATGGGGTTGGGGGTGCTTGCGTGTTGAGGCGGTTTCCGTCTTCACTTGTACATCGTTAGACCTACCACGAGGAGCTGTTGGGTCGAAGAAATGTCTGTAGCTTTATGTGGCGTTAAGTCTGCTATCATACCCGTACGCATCACCGACAGCGGGGTTCCAACTTTGTGCATCACATTCCACCACCACCCGACCGAGGGATTCACTCGCGGGGCAACACACACTCTTCACACTGCACGCACCGCACGCACTATCCCACCATCGAAGGAGCAACACCCCCAGTTAACCCCCGCCCCGCCCCACCCAAACCCACGGATTCGGTCGGGCAAATCTCTGGCCAGTGGGCTCCTGCGGGTTCCCGCGCTGCATTGTGGCGGTACCTTATTGTTGGTGCGCTGTGGATGTGTGCTAGCTGGCCCGGTGTTGGAGGGGGATGGGTTTGGAATTGTACTGTACAGTACTTGTACATATCCGAAAATTGCTACCATTAATTAGTCTATGGAATCCCCCCGTCGTGTTTGGAGGTATGGTGGACGAGGAATGGGAGTTTTCGGAATGTATGATTTGAATACAATACGATAATAATAATATTATTATATAGCTTTTTTAGCATCTTCCGTCCCCCCCCCCTCCCCTTCTTCATTGTGCCTGATATTGGTGAATACCGGTGGGCCGGTTTCTGGCTTCGCGGGTACCGTATCGTAAATGTGCTCATATGTCCTCCCGGGTGTTATTGGAGACTTGCGATATGTATTATAATGTACGGAGAGAAAGTGACCCAAGGTCAGGAGGAGTAGGAGGAGGAAGAAGTCTTACACCATTCGTTATCGCACGTTGTGGATGGACAAGCGCACACATAATATTAACCTGCCCGAAGAAGAAAAAGCCGAAGATAAACTTGCGGTAACTTATGATATTAATTATAATTATTATGGTGTTCTTCACGTTATGTCACTCGATATTGGCTAATATCGGGATGTGTCTGTGTTGCAAGGGCTTTCGGAATGGAAAATGGTAATTAATTGGGGGGGGGCTGCTGGTAGTATAGTAAGTGCGGATTGCCCTTAACACCACTTCTTCACTTCTTAGAGGGGGTGTTTGATTTATCACAGTTTGGGTCACTTAGCATGTTATGATATTTTCTTGGCTCCCCATAGCTCTTCTCATCCTCACGGCGTACCGTAAATGGTGGTATGAACCCTTTGGGTCCCCACTTCCGTGCTCCGCGAACACGTGCTGTGCCATTACCGAGCTGAAAAAGTTCGACTATCGTATCCTTGCCGCCGATACCCGTTCCGTCCGTCCATTTCATCCCGCCCCACTATTTCACCCGCAACCCCCCCACCTTGACTCCTCAAAATCGATTCCATCTTCCCAACGCCAAAAGCGTGAAATGCCTGCCCAATTTCTTCTTCGCCGCCCAGTACTGTGGCCGGTAAAGCTCCTCCCACGAATCCTTTGTGCGACGGCCCCCAACTCGACCCTGAGGATGCTCTCAACACACCCTCCGAAGTCGGAAGACGAGGACGCGATATTCGCTGCCGGGGTCGAGGAGGTGAAAAAGTGGTGGGCGGAACCCCGATGGAAAGGGATTGTTCGGCCCTACTCTACCGAGGACATTGTTAGCAAGCGAGGCACGCTGAAGCAGCATTACCCGAGCTCGCAGACGGCCAGGAAGTTGTTTGAGTTGCTGAATGAGCGGGCGGCGCAGGGGTTGCCGGTGCATACTAGTATTGCCCCCCCCCCCCGCATTTCCGGAGGTATGGTAAGGGATAGGGGGATGGATGGCTGATGAGGAGGAGATATTAGTGGGCGCTATTGATCCCGTACAAATGACCCAGCAAGCACCGCATCTTGAAGCGCTATACGTGAGCGGGTGGGCTTGTTCTAGTGTTCTCACAACCACGAATGAGGTATCACCGGACCTTGGGGATTACCCGTACAATACCGTACCGAATCAAGTCCAACGACTATTCAAAGCCCAGCAACTCCACGACCGAAAGCACTATGACGAACGCCGGAGCATGACACCACAGCAGCGCAAGGAGAAACCGTGGGTAGACTACCTCCGCCCGATAATCGCGGACGGGGACACGGGACATGGTGGACTATCCGCTGTGATGAAGCTGGCGAAGCTCTTCGCCGAGAATGGGGCCGCAGCGATACACCTGGAGGACCAGATGCACGGTGGCAAGAAGTGCGGGCACCTGTCGGGCAAAGTCCTCGTGCCCATCAGCGAGCATATCAACCGACTCATCGCGACGCGCTTCCAGTGGGACCTGATGGGCGTGGAGAACCTCTTGATCGCGCGAACGGACAGTGAGAGTGGAAAGCTCATCAGCAGCACCGTCGACACCCGCGACCACCAATTCATCCTAGGCACAACCGCCCAGACCACTCCTCTCAGCGAAGTCCTCCAAAACCTCGAATCCACCGGCGCCCCGACAGAAGCCCTGGAAAGGGCGGAGGCAGCCTGGTTCGCACGGCACGAATTGACGACCTTCGATGATGCCGTCAAGTCCGAACTCGCCAAGCTCCCCAACGCCCAGGCCAAGATGGAAGAATACATGCAGCACGCATCAACCCGCAGCAACACTGTCGCGCGGGAACACGCGCGCGCACTTCTCGGCCACGAGATATTCTTCTCCTGGGACCTCCCTCGCACGCGGGAAGGCTACTACCATTACTCCGCCGGCCTCCCCGCTGCCATAAAGCGCGCACAGGCCTTCGCACCCTACTCCGACCTCCTCTGGCTGGAGACCAAACGTCCATCGCTCACGCAAGCAACATCCTTCGCCCGCACCCTCCTGCGCACCCCTTCCTCCCCGTCCGCAGGCAAACACCTAGTCTACAACCTCTCGCCCAGCTTCAATTGGCTAGCGGAGGGCTTCACTCCGGAGCAGTTGAAGTCCTTCATCTGGGACTTGGCGAAGGAGGGCTTCGTGTTGCAAATCGTGTCCCTCGCAGGATTACACTCGGGTGCCCTCGCTACCTGCAAACTCGCCACGCGGTTCAAAGATGAGGGCATGCTCGCGTACGTCGACCTCGTGCAGAGGCGCGAGAAGGAGATTGGGTGCGACGTGCTCACGCATCAGAAATGGAGTGGAGCGAATTACTTGGATGGGGTGTTGCAGGCCGTGGCTAGCTCCTCAGCGACCAGCGCGGTTGGGGGGGATAGCACTGAGCATGGATTTTAGATTGGGGGGGGACGTTGTGCAGCATATCATACCTTTGTGTTTTTTTTAAAAATTTTTCCTATACTTATTACTCTTCGGAAAGGTGTTTGATGGCGTCGAAACGATGTTGAAAAGGTATGATATGGGGATGTGGTTTAGTGGTATAATACCTCTTTAGCATAGAGGTGGTCCGGCGTTCGATTCGCCGCATCTCCATTCCTTTTTTTCCTTCCCTCTTTACCTTCCATACTTCTCCCATAGATTGAGCTAGGTGAATGGAGGATTTCAATCGCATGGACTCTCTGCCGTCTCTCACTTGACCGCCAATCTGATAGCTTACTCCTGTACTGCATTGTAAATCTGCGGTCGTAGAATAAGAAATCGTAGGTTACAACTTTATTCATCCCCAGCCACATCTGCCCAGGTATATATATCGCGCCTCACAAAAATGAGAGGAAGGGCGAACAAACGAACGATGTATGTATGTATGCACAATCTAAGCATCCAACTTCAACCCCTCCAGAAGGGCATCGATCCTCCCCAACAATTCCTCATAAACATGACCCTTCTCCGTCTCCAAACTACGATCCACCTCGCCCACCTCCACCTCCACCTCCTCCCCATTCCCGCAAAACCCCAGGTTATCCTCCACCCTCATCCTGAACCTCTCGTTGAGGTAGTACCTAATGTCGTCTACGAGTTCGATGGTATCCGTCTCCTGCCGACCCTTGATCCTCCCCGCACTCTCAGCGACCAACTCGGCAAACTCCGGATCGGGGAGGAAGTCCTCGAGCCGCTCGGCGATGTACTTTGCGCCGAAGGCCTCGAGGCGCGGGGCGCGCGTGGCCCATGCGGCGCGGATGACGTCGTGGATGTGGAAGGGGAGGTCGTTGGGTGCGGTGGCAATGACTTGTGCGCATTTGGACTTTAGACGATCGAGGAAGAGGTGGTCCGAGGTGTAGAGGAGGGAGAGCGAGTGCTGGAGCGGGGGCGGGGTCGGGGTTTCAAAGTAGAGGTGTAGGAGGAGGTACGGGAGAGTGGAGGCGGGAAGGGGGAGGGGGATTATAGGAAGGGGCGAGGTGGGGGCTGTGGGAAGGCCCTCGAGGAAGGGGGATGTGAACATTGCTGTGAAGAACTCGGAGCGGAGGAGGGATTTGTGGGTTGGGTAGATGTGTACAAGGTAGTCTTCCTCTTCCTCTTCTTCCTCCGCTTCTCTGTCCGCATCTGCGTCGCGCCAGTCCGGCTCGTCAGAGCGGATGAGCACGTCTGCGAAGCTGTCGTTTCCTGGGAATACTTTGATTTGCCCGACTTGTGACTTCCTTACCACGACCCTCTTCTTCAGCACATTCTCCCGCATCCATTCTTCCATCCTCTCCTGTGCCCTCTTCAGCCCCTCGCTGCGCAGCTGCCGTCGCAACTTCGGTGTATTCGCCAGCAATAGCCTCCACAACTCTGGGATCTCCAAGTGTTTACTCAGCCTTTCTATATTCGCCATCAACTCCTTGTCCGAACTAGGGGCCGCAGAGACCTCGCCGAGGTAGATGTATTTCACCGCGGCCTCGAACGCGCGGGAGGAGAAGTTTTGCGAGAGCCGAATGGTCTTTTTGGGATTTTGCTCATTAGTGGAGGTGGGAAGGGGGAGGGAGAGTTTCCGCCGGAAGTAGGGTGAGTGAGCTGAGAGCATAAACCTGTGTAGATGAAAGGCCGTTTCCAAGCCAGTGGTGGTAGTCGCAGTTACGACTATGTCGGTGGTATCCAACGGCTCTCGCGACAGTAAGGTAGTGATATGCGCAGCCCACGGCTGCGCCGGATCGATACTTTGCGAATACTACCGCCCCCCCCCTCAGCATCAGCCATGGGAGACGACAGCACACGGAGCGAGCGAGCGATCAGGAGTAACAATACATCATACTGCAACAACAAATTCCTAATCCGGCTATTCAGGGCATTATACAAAATCCTCTCGCCCTGGAACGTATCCCGCTCGCACACGGCACCGCTCTCGAGCAGCAACTCCACCACTTCGTAGTGTCCGCACAGACTAGCCTTGTCACTTCCCCCTTCAGCCACCCCAACCATCCCCGCGGGTGAGAACGCGAACCACGTACCAAGGTCAGAGGAAGATTATCAAACCGATCAACAGCGTTCAAGTTCACGCCCCCCGGGGACACGATCAAGTCTTGCACGGTTTTCAGGTCGCCGCGGCGGCAGGCTTCGCACCTATCATTCCAATTAACTCCCGCGAAGCGGAGCGGTGGGGTCGGGAGCAAGTGGGGAGGGAAGGGCACAGTTTTTGGAAGGGCTCTGATTCATCGAGCTGGTTCTTGACGCGGATTTCCGAACGGTCTTGGAAGATGTGGCTGAAAAAGCCGGTTTTGGGGGGGTTGGAAAGGTCTTCGGGCCGGGTTAGCATAGTTTTCGGGGGTGTTTTTTTTCCTTTCTTTTCTACCGTGACACGGAGTTGAGGGGGATCCAGAGTCGGTATGACACGATAATGTAATTTAGCTGAGGGCCTAACATGTTTGGATGTCTTGATGAGTCAGCATGTGGGGGCTAGGTGGTAGGTAGCGAGTGATACTCCGTGAGAACAGGATAATTCGGTCACGAGGGAAGAGTGAGATGTTGTGAAGGATAGTGCTAGTATGGCATGGTGTGAATGGAAAAACTTGTAGAAAACGCCGGGAAGCACCCCCCCTTTTTGACCGACATGGCACAAACAGGTCCGTAAATAATACCCCAGTGACAGCTGTTCCTGTTTGCTGCGCACAAACGATATGCACCTATGGTATCATTTGGGGGTTCTGAGAGGATATCATATCTCCACACACGATAGCACAAATTCTGCACAAATTACAAAGAGAAATCATCTATGTGCCAACCAAGGACTTGACCGATTGCCTTCCCTGTGAAAAACGCAGAGCACAAAAGTTCCTCCACAACAAAGACCTATCGGCTGTGTCGCAAAAGTCGCCACGCAATTGGCGCCCGTAGGCCATATACACGTCCCACAGCCCTACTTCTACTCGAGTATATTAACGACGTCATAACAATCTAATTATCATAGAAGTAAAGTCAGAGAGCTTGTAAAAACAACGAGGGGAAATCTTCAACACGAGCTGATCACTAAAGAAACTAAAGGTCCTATCCCTCCCTGCACCTACTACTGCTACTCATGGATCGATCGTCTCCTGCCATCAGTAACGACAGTCCCCCCTTCTCGGAACAGTTCATGTGCCTAGCAGATGTTGTTAAACCTCCTCCCTTCAATAACGTACTCAATGCGAGCTCCATCAAACCATAAATCACAGCTAGCTCAATCGCAATAACCGGTGTCAAACAGTTCCACCTCTCAGCGAGCCAGATAGGTACCCATGTATGCACAAAGCCTGAACCAGATACCCTCTATATATTTACACGAAAACAACGCGCGTACGCTAGATGTAGCGCCTATCTTACCAAGAAAATGATTCGGTATGTAAATAGATCTAAACCCTGTTAGTCTAATAGGCAACTAAACAGACGATTATGGGAAGAGATAAACTCACGCCTTGTGCACCAGTCCCTTTGTGCACCGCCCTCTCATCGCTAAGCGCAACAACAACCTGCCTCGTCTTCTCAATCAATTCCGCTGGGCCACATACCACCACTGCGCTCTCCCCAAGTGCCTTCTCAAGCTCCTTGTTCATGAGAACCTCGATAGCGGGTCGGCCGGAAAACACATGCTCCGGCGGTAGGTGAGGCGGTGGGGCAATTCTATTCTTCGAAGAAGTAGAATCCCGAGTCTGCATCCCGGCGGGGTCTGTGTCCGCCATCATTTCCGGTATATTTGGATGAGGCACGGTGGGCTGCGAGCAACAGCTACAGACTTGCTTCTTCCCACCGGATCTGCTGGCCTCGACAATGGCGTCTTCGTCTTCGAGGACCTCTTGACAACAGCAGTGACCGCCATTGCAGAGTTCATTCCCTTCTACTGCCCCGACTTCAGCCTTCTCAGTGGGCATTGCTTTTAAATCTGCAACGACCTCAGCTTTCTCGGTAGACATTGCTCTTAAATCTGCTACATCAAGAAATCCATTCCGGCTGGGGGGGCTCGACGATGGCGCTGATAACGAATCACGACAAGTGACATAAACACTCGCTTCCAGAATTAGTCCGCCGAACTCCCCAAGTGTCCCCATCGCAACCGCAATCTCCTTTGCGAACCAACTGATCTGGGTACTGCTCCGAACAACCCAGACAAGTCTGATTTTTCTCGTCACCATCGGTTTCGACTCCCTTCTCAACCGGACAAGGTCCTTCAGTAGCGGGATGATGAAAGCAGCACCGGCACCTCCTGCTAACAGAAAAACTGAGTCAAATTGCTCTAGTGGACGGACCTGACCGTAGGGGCCATCGATGATAACAGTCTTCGATTTATCTCTATTGACCGGCAACACACATGCATGGTCGGAAAACTTCTCGGTCCCACCCTTCTGGGTCCGGATCACAAACTCCAGAGAATTATCTGAGGGCAGGGTCGCAATTGTAAACGGGTGGGATTGCAGTGGTACAAGCGAGTGGCAGGAGACAAACGCGTGCTGTCCCGGATTCCAGTTAAACGGCGGGTCGAGTATTACTACTTTTGTAGCTTTGTCCGACAGCGCATGAAAAGTGGCATTGCAGGTGAAGAGCCCGGAGGGTCCCCGCCGCCTTCCTGGGTGAAAGATGGCCAGGTTAGCGTACAACATATATAGTATCCTCAAAGCCCGGTCGGTGAAGAAAATGGCCACGGGTACCCAAACATAGACATGCGCCTTCTCTGGAGTGTGCAGCCGAACCATAACGATAAAGCCAATGAAGCTAATTACGTGCTGGGCAACAAAAAGCTCATATATCCATCCTCTAATGGGAGCGAAACTCGACAATGTGATCCACAGTAGTACACACCAAGCACCTAGCCCTCGACGAGATATGATGTCAATCTCAAGTTTGCGTCCAATATAGTCATATCGGCCCCACGTCCGAAAAAAGTAGCCCAAATGGATTGTAGCGGTAATGAACATGCACCGTGCAACCCATCTATGAATCCAGTTCAATCGCTCGTAGGAAGTACCGGTAGCGTACCCGATCAGATTCCTCTTTCCAGCCAACAGGAACACCAAGGGTAGTTGAGCAACAGTAATCCAGCCGGTACGCACAGCCATAGCCTCCCAATTCCGCCTGTCATTCACATCCCAGCCATAGAAATTGAGCGATAACAGCAAGGCGAGATTCGCAGCAATGAGCAAGACACGGCCAAACTGTGGGAAATTCAACGGTGGCGCCCTTTTCCACAAAATATTGGAATCCGCACTTGATAGCTTTCCCCGAGCATCTGTTAACGGGGCGGTATAGTATACCGCTTCCCGGGTTGTCGCAGTGAGGGTCGCATACCACCTGATGAGAGGGTTCTTCGGCCTGGCCGGTTCGGGAAGAGCCTTAGAAGCGGCAGAGATTCTAGAGGCATTCAAGTCAGCCAAGAAATATTTGACGCAGACAGAGCGTCAACGAGCCTCTGACGGTAGAGCAATAATTCCCCCATATGCACGAATACTCCGACACCTATAGCCCCGCCAACGAACATCCAGTAGATCTTTGCAAAGTAGGTATCTTCAGGGACAGGAAAAAGGCCACTCCCTCCGCTACCATGCCCTGAATGTGACATGTTTGAGGTGTCAATGGCGGGGCTTGCTCAGCAAATCACGGGGAGGGGGGTGAAGCGAGGAAAGTCTGGAGGTGATGAAGCGTGCTCGAGTATAATATGATTTTATTGCTGGATCACGGGGGACAGGGTGGATAAGTAAGTAGCAGGGACTGTTACAAACTCGAACCAGAAGGAGTGAGAGGGGTCAGACGAAGTGGGTGTATACATTGAGATGGGGACCAGCAGGTAAAACGGCCTCTCCTTCACTCAAGTCACAGTTCCATATGTACTTGTATGAGGAGAGCGGATGCAGAGTAGCAGGGCAAGAGTGCTTCCTAGGGCGGATCCCGGCTTCTAGATGTGAGGAGGAAGGAGGTTAGGCGGGAGTGAGGAAGGAGGGAAGGGGGCGAGATGAACTGACATGGAGATCTCTTTCTAAAAGCATCATCCGTCCACACCGCTCATTCATTCACCCATGCTACTAGAAATGTCAATCAAACAGGCCGCGTGTGCACAGGAGAAAACGAGAAGGGAAATAATATCTCCATCTCTCTCTTTCTCACTCAAGCCTTGTCTCTCCTCCCCATCATCATCATCCCCCACCCACCCTTGAACCATGTTCTCAAATACTTGAGTACTCGTACAGCACAGTGCCATCATGAATTAGTTACAGAACAATACTCGTACTATCAGTATGATATGATACTCGAGTACCGGTACTGTTCCCAGCACGGCACTGTACTGTACTCAACCGGTAGTGCAACCCCAGTCAATCAGTACTCTCACAGCGACCACCTGCCACCCAACCAACCTAAACAGAATTCCACCAATATTCCACCCAAGAAACTCTAACCTCCCATACCGGTAACCACTTTAGTTCTTCCATTTCTTTTGTTTTTCTCCCAAGAAACCCCCCCCTCGCTCCGAGCGGGGGGGAGGGAGAGAGGCAACAACCCCACGCCAGAGCACAAGCAACCTCTCCCCCATCAGCACACACTTCCCCAATCGGGTCAGAACCCTCTCACTCGCGTTTTACCTAATTGGTGTGAAACATGCTCACCAAAATAAAAATCGGTTTCCGAGCACCCAATGTGTTGTTAAGTACTCGTGCCACCATACTCCACCTCGGGAATGGGGAGCTGAATAAGTTATCCACTTATAATACGGTAACTGAAGGGTTCTCACGATACTCGAGTAGATTTTTGCGGGAACTTATCGTGGCTAGGGCCACTAGCGCGTAACTCATGTTTCGTAGATTTCTGTTGAAAACGTCGCGTGCTCGAGCACTGTGTCACCGTGAAGTACTCGGGCACTTTTATAGTACTGGTATGATACTATCCAGAATCCATCAGCTATTATGTACGAGTACAACAGCATCCGTAAAGTTCTATTCGAGTAGGAACCTTCTAGCGTTGGGTATGTCTCTAGAGGGGTTGTAAGGATTAAATTTAATCACGATTTGTTTCTTACTGGATAATAGGAAGGGTAGGGCTAGCAAGGCGTTCCCAGGGGCGTACTCTTAGTACTGTGGTCTACTTGGAGGGTAACTTATGACATGAGAATTTTTGTTGATGTGGGGTGTACGAGTATTAGTACCCAATATTTTTTATAAAGTCTCCGGAATGGGAAATGAATACCTGTAAGTGATCCACTTATGGTATAATCTATGGCTTCACCGTGCTATAAAAAACCTCTATCACTGTTGGAATACCGGTACCAGACAGACAGCCACAACGCAAGCAAACAGACAACACCCAGTACCCACCCCACCATCGTCCCTAATAATGCACTCCCATCTTCTCCCCCCCTCTACTCGAGTACTCAAGTACCGGTGCTCGTAGAGGTATGATACCACACTCCAAACATTAGTGAGCGCGTTCACCCCTACCCAACCCACCGTGGCCCACCCCTGCCCTGCCGTACCGCCCCGCGTGTCTTCGGTTTCATGCCTTCCCAGGTGTCAAAAAAAACAGCACCCGTATCATAAAAGTTTTATGTGTGTGCGTGGCTCTGCCTTCGCATGAAATCCGGAGGCTTACTTGAAGGTCGGGACGTCGCGGATTTCTCACTTTTACTTTTTTCCTTCTCTAGGGGGGAGAACGCTTGGTCGACATACCCATAGTCCGTCTGGTGAGCAAGCAAGCAAGCAACACTCTACCTTTAGGTTACTCTACCATTCGGAGGATTTCGTTCGAGTTACAGAAGTCACAGGGCTGAGAAAGAGGAGGAGTAGGAAGAAGAAGGGGGTATAGGGTGGTTAAGCTTAAACTTGGGTTTCATCAATTGAAGGAGAGGGAAGGGAGAAAGGAAGGGCATTCCATTTTCATATAAGCTTCTGGTGGGAGCTGCATCTCTAGGTAAGCTCTTCTTCTCTGTCCATTGTTCTTTCTTTCCTTCTTTCTTTGTATCTCCTATTTTTACTTTCATCTTTTTATTTTTATTTTTTGAGGGAGGACTTTGTTTCCTTCTTTCCTTCTATTCTTCCTTTCTTTCCCCTTCGTTCTTCCCTTCCATCATTCGTTCCACCATCTCGCTGTGCGAGATATCTTGTCATACTTTCTTCCCCCCCCTCACTCCATTTCGGCAAGCACGATAAAAGGGCACAAACCCTGACATGCTTCACCCAAGGCACACAATTCGCACAATGGCCGACTTCACAAGGCACAGCGACCAAGACGGCTCCTCTGGCACCGACCCCTCCACAATCTCCTCTACCGGCGGCGACCACTCCTCCCCACACTCCATGCCCTCGGGCATGAGCATGGCCTTCCACACGGGCATGACGGACTCACTCTACTCGTCCGCATGGACACCAAATTCGCCGGGACAGTACGCGGGCACGATCGCCTTCCTGGTACTCCTGGCGTTCACGTATAGATTCTTAGTAGCATGGAGGAGCGTGCTGGACCACAAACGGGCTGTTAAAGACAATGAGCGAAGTGTACTCGTTGCAGCGGGGAAGGCCGGAAGTCTGAGCAGCTCGGAGGGACTGGATGGAGGAAGGAGGACGGGTAGTTGGGGTGGGAGGCCGTGGAGGTGGTCAGTTGATCTGCCTAGGGCTTGGATGCAGGTGGTTACCTCGGGGGTTGGATATTTACTGTATGTTTTTCTTTATTACTTCCATCATGCTCTGACTAATGCCCCACCGACACAGCATGTTAGCGGTAATGACATTCAACGTTGGCTACTTCCTCGCCGTCCTCACCGGTGTATTTTTTGGAGAATTAATCTTTGGCCGGTGGATTCATGGGAGCGAACATTAGCATTGACATCACGAACCTTCGAGGCAAGAATGGATCGGGATGTAGACACACACAGAAGGGCTGTATTTTTAGGTGTTCTTTTCCTTTTGTCTTTACCCGCGGTTGAGCTATGTTGTTTCGCTCTTACATTTTATACTTCCCACTCGTTACGCAAGAAAACCTAGGCATGACACAGTGATAGCGGAGTTTAATGGATTCTCAACGCTTTCCAGCGCACGGCATCTCAAAATTAGGGTGATTGGGATATCAGGAATAAGCAGAGCAGGTGGATGGATGATATGATAACGGCGCAACCCGTCCGTTTTTTCCGCCGGAATCCCGCACGGCCGCTGCCCCGTCCGTAGTATTATGCTATATACACGTAAGGTGCTATGAGGATCATTGCCCCAGAACGCTTTGAACCTGCCCGGCGTGTACTGTACAACAAGGTCGGCACGGTACTGTACTTGTACAGTACAGCACCCCCACCATGCCCGGGGTTCGTATACTGCAATGGATCCCAGCCGGAAAAATTCACCCTTATGGACATTGACATGGACATGGACGGACACGCATTCATGTCATGCCCCACCATGCCAGACCTCACTCACAACCGGGCAAGCAAGCAAGCAAGCAACCAACCCACCAAGGGGTCGCCTCCCGCGACATAGGGTAGTCTACAGCACGACAGAACAGAACAACGAAAGGAACCTTCCTCCTCCCGCAACGGATATGAACCCGGGAAAGCCCCCTTACTTCCCCATACCGGTTACGTATCGTAACGCAAATGTAAAGAACCGACCAACCAACCAACCAATCGGGAAAAATCATCTTCCCGGGATTTTTCCCGTTTTCGGTGCTGGGTCGTTGTTTCCGGGAATTTTGCGATGGTACTCGAGTACAGTACAGTAATCCCTCCCATAATTCCTATTTCCAGAGAATTGATTCATCATAAATCCAGAAATTAGTCCTAAAATTGTGGACGAGCCTACAGTTCAAACCTCTATCCTGTCCTATTTTCAGGCCGCTGAGTAGGGATGTGCGGTGCGGGATGTTGAACAGGGGGGAGGTTTTGTTTTCTTATCTGTTTTTCTATGGTTCATATATAAATATGGTTACGTTGTGCTATCACTTATAAATCGAGCGCACAATATTCTACGATATCACTTAACTTGCCAAGACACCTTCCGTGTTTCCAACTCTCTAGGTTACTTGTTTCAGCTTTTTTTTTTCATTCACCGGCCTCCCGGAATTATGAGAGGGTTTACTGTATTCTATTGCCAAGTATGATACTTGCGCAAGTACTAGTACAGTACAGTACCCGGTGAAAATGCGAACGGGATCGAGTGGGAACTACAGGTTGGGAATCCCGCGGCTTGGCGATTCTGTTGCGTTATATGTTTAGCTGCGATTGAATGAATTGAATTGAATTGATTACGAGTAGATTATCATACGGTACGGTAGCTTGCCCGAGTGGGGGAAAGCTTGAGAAAAAATATATATAATAATTATATATTTATGCGGAGCGTTGGGAATTGTACTATTACCGTACTGTATGAGTGGCCCATGGAAATTCTGGGTTTGTCCGGGGTGAACTGACTGTGCGGGATGTTTGATAATTCACCTGAAATTTGGATACCGGTATTATAGAATCCATACCACTGCCTGGTATCATACCTGGAACCGATATGTAATCAATTGAGGTGGAACCTAGGCTTAGTCATGTGTTGTTGTGAAGATGGCCTATCATACTTTTGGTGTAGAAAAGCCAAGTGACGATGATGACCTTTGTCAGGTCACTCGCATCATTCCCATCCACACAGTCACTCCAACTTCCCCATTTGGTCACAATCCAGATCAATTACCAATTCATCAGCCAGCCAACTGTACTAGTACAGTACTGTGCTATTTACGGTATAATTCAATACAATAACTAGTGATGATAAAAATAATAATAAAAACAACCCAAACCCGTCTACAAAACCCAACCCCCCACAATAGCCATTACCCCTGCCCCCACGAGTGCGATCCCGCCAATAACATTCGCACTCGCATCATTCGGCTTACCAGTCGCCGACGACGACGACGACGAGGATGAAGCATTGGCAGCATGGTCCGTGTGCTCATCATCGCTACCACTTGGCGATGCCGACTCCGCCGAGACACCGGAAGAATTGGAGCATGCCGAAACACCACCCGGAGGGGACGATACGAAGGTTATATCCGCACACTGCGAAAAAAAAAAACCCCAATTAGTACTCGCCCTTAGCCAATTGGGGAGGGGAGGGAAGGGAAGGGGCCCACATTATAAAGCCCACCCCCAGTATGTCCCGCCTGCACCACCTGAATCGTGGCGTTCACCCCATCACGTATGCCCTCTATGCCACCCGGCACGCGCAGCTCGCTCCAGCAGAAGGTGCCGAGACCAATCTGCTTGAACCGGTTTACCAGTGTTATGTTGAAGTCGTCCTGAGCCGGGTTGTTCTTTAGGGCTAGGTACACAGCTGTGTCCGCTTCGTCGTGCCCCGCTTCGAATTTCAGTTGCCCGCCCGTCAGGCCCCAGGGGGTGCGGGTTGTGGAGGGCGTGTTGAGGCCGCCACAGGGTGAGGTGGCTTGAGTTTGATCGTTGGGGCCGCGGGAGGGGGGGTAGGTTAGCTGGAAATGCGCCCTAACGAAGAGGGGGATGGAGAGTAGGGTGAGGAGGGTTGAGGTGGTCTTCATTTTTTTCTCTCCTCTTTGGAGTTGGTGGTGGATTTGTTTGTTTGTTTGTTGGCTGGTTGGCCGGTTGGTCGGTTGTGGAGGTTAGATGAATTAAGGGGGAAGATTACGGGAGGGAGGAGAAGGGGTCAATTGGTGGATATATCATGCGGATTCGTGGACAACTTGACGGGTGTAGGCCTTTTGTATGTATGATATTATGATCTTGGGCAGGGGCACCGTAAGCAACACACGAGTGGGCTTCTAAGACCTAAATTGCCGCTACCCGAGGGGTATGATATTGTTTGCGGGCCCCCATAAACCCTTCTACCAGTATTAGTAGCCAGTATCCCGTGAATGGGTTTCACCACCTCCAGTACTCGTACTGGTAGAACCAGGGCCCACGGTAATTGCACGGGATACAAAGCCACTGCACCCCATTCAAAGAGCTCACCCCGACCACCACCAGTTCATTAATCAATCGACCCTAAACCTAACCTATTTGCCGTTACAAGTAACCCAAGTTAATCACATTGGAATGCCGTACCATGCAAGCCCGCGATATGATACTCGAGTACCGGTAGCGTATGATAACGCTGGAAGGAAAGAAAGAATCAACCCATATCCATCCATTTTCCAGGTTCCAATGTCGTCTTGCCGACAGTTCCACCCATCTAAATTGTCAACCAAGTCCTTCAGGAAGTTGCTTCGCACTCCCCCCGGCAGTGATTTAGAGTATCATATCCATGAAGGGTAATAACAAATAAAAACATGCTCATCCAAACAAGGTTAGGCCAAGTAAGTTGACCAACAATAAGCAAAGAACCCCGCCGCGGCTCATAGGTGGGGGAGGGTGGGGGAGGTCCAGAAGAAAAAAAAAACGTGCTCAAACCCGCGCAGGTGGAACCCTTCCCTGCTCCCCTTGCTTTTTTCTTTTTTTCTTTTTTTCTTCCTCTTTCTCGGAGGATTCCGATCTGGACTTTGGGGCCCCTTCTTGTTAACTTAGCCGTTGATCTGCCGGTATGCGGAGCGCGATAAGTTATGTAGCCGCTCTTGGATTAGCGTAACTTGGTGCGGGATCAGCCCTGAATTGAGGTTGACGAGTTCGGCCGTTGTCATGGAAGGAACTTTAAACTTTCGCCATTTCTCCGGGAGGTTGCTACCCGATTACGGGTTTCGATTATTATCGCCTTTTCAGCGTTTTTGGATGAACCTGGGTTAGATGTTAGCGGTAAGTCAATGATTGTGAGGGTCCTAACTTTTTTTTCTCGTTCGCCCCCAAAGTGCAAAGCATTGAAGAGTAAGACTGAGATCTTACTCAAGTATATGGGACCACCGCGTCATCTGGAACACATCTGAGCAAAACACCAATCCCCCGTGACTCGTGTAGTAAGGAGAAACATGTCAAGAATGGGGCGAGATGAAGATTGACATGAAAGGGTGTTAGGGTGCTCGTTTTATACTCCATACCAAGACTTTTCTTTCTTTCTTCCTCTTCTTCTGCCCCTCCCATCCCGGCAGGCGCAAGATCTGCTGGAACAACGTATCCCACAGCTCCCTATGTTCCTGTCGGGTTACGATCTGTGGCGGTTTCTGTAAAGGGTGTTATTTAGCTCATGCAGCCCATTGGATCTCATGGCATGCGAATGCGTGAGTGGGAGACATGTATGACTGCAGGCTTGAGAGCGCCCGTGTTTGCTCCTCTACCCGTTGGCTCAGTGTGGTGCTTTGGCTCAGTGCCTTTTTGCCCGTTCTCGTGACTAGGGGAAACTTTCCCTTTCTTCCTTGCTTGCATTTTCGCCTGCCTATCCCGGGTTATGATATTATCATGTTTTTTTGGTGCAAGATAGGGAGAAAGCACAATATTGGGTTGTGGGAAATAGGGCAGTGCTGTAAGTTATGGGTAATCCATACTCAATCAGCAACCGCCCTATTGACTCTTCTGACGGAAAGAAAAGTCCATTAACAGAACCTTAGGTTGGACTATGGAGGAAATAAGCACAATGTCGAAATATTTCCTTCGCAATGAGATGCTACAGGTGCGAGCAGAACACCGTCTCCATAGCATTGTAGTACGGAACGGGCCTCACTCTTCCATAATATTCTTGTTTTTCCTCAGAAATATATTCCTGGCATGTTCACTTCTTCCCCAATCTTCCCTTTGCCTGGGTGAAGGACGCACAGCCCTTATCGGATCATGAGATCGTCAATTCGGAAACTCGGCGCATAGCATCATACAACGTCACATGAGGTAGACTTTAAGATTGACCCGTAGGTTTATGAAGCATTACTGCCACTTCCAATCTCACCCTAGCTGTAGGGCTCATTTCCTGCCCTAATCCGATCCCTTTGGGGAATTGCAACAAGCATCATGTCACCTCACTCGTGGGAAAGTCTGTCGACCTTCGGACATTACCCTCTGCTAATATCCATTACCAAGTCAGTCAGCTGATGTTTTTCCAAGAATAAAAATATCATACATTTTAAGACTTCCGATCCTCACTTGAAGCCTGACAACGGAAAGAAGTTCATTATTACCTTTACCATGAGATAATGATAATAAGAAACATATGGAACCTGGAAATAAAGCCGGAAAAACACCTCATTTGCAAGCCCTGCGGGGGCACTGGGGCAGGCGGCCTTGGATATGCTTCTACCCAAGTTCTTCCCGTGGCGGAGCTAGTGTAAGTGGGGTAGTCACCGATTTAAGCGACTGCTTGCCTCGGGTGGAAAATGAGGTGACTTGACCCCAATATACTTTTGTATCGTATATAGTGAAGATGCAGACAGGCCCTCCTTTTGTAAAAGCCCGCAGCTCTCGTTATGTGTAGGCCCTAGCAAAAATAAAGCGGGCTGAATTCCTGCTAGGGTTTTATGGTACTGTATGAGGAGCATTTTGTTTGACCATCTAGGACTAAGAGACCGAGCGTTCGAAGGGTAAACTCAAATCACTTCATAATGAGCGCGATGACGACTTCTGGGGGTTTCCAAGCTTCTCTTCTAGCTTCTCTCCCAATGACACCGCAGTACCGGCCATATTACCGCTGCTGGACCTCGACGTGAATTTCCGCATGTGTAAGTTTCCCTACCACCGTGGGGGTAAAGTTGGAAAAATTGGCAACTATGATACCATAGTTCAGTGATCCACCACGGACTTGTCGATACCGGTATGGTGCCGAGGAGCCATCAACCTCTCATGCCTCCAGGGGGTGTAACTGACAGGCTTGTGGCACCTGGGGGGCTCATGGAGACATCCAATTTTGGTATTTCCAAATTTTTCTTGTCCCAGTAGGAATGAACAATATATAACGGTATATGCTCTACCCCATTTCGCCAAGAGTTTCGCTTAGTCAAGGGGATATTTTTCTAGTCAAATAGCTATCCCCTTCGAAAAGCAGCCTTCTTTGCCACTGCCGGTGGTTACAAACAATCTTCATGAGGCAGGAAAGCAAATATGAGGTAGCAAAGTGGATAGAACTTAGATCTCTCAGAAAATGTAGGCTCCAAGAAGCTATCAGGCACGCTTGGTGGCCCTGGGGCTGTTTGGTTTGATAAGAGGCGGATCGCGAGTTGTGGTTGTTCGTAGAAGTTGCAACACTGTTGTAGGAGGTTTCTTTCATTCTGGAGCTGCGGCGATTCATGGAGAAGATTCCCCGAGTATGCCCCTATTATTTTATCGCTGGAGGGTGCCAGGAAATCAGCATATGCAAGGAGGTGAACAGATATGCGTGGCAATCCCTGCAGGGATCAAGATGGTTAAACTTCGTTTGATATATATACTCCTGTCTTTACTGTAAGTTTAGTTCATGGTAACGAAGTTTATGATCAAACATTTCCTACTAGCAGATACTCCAAGTCCCATTCTATTCCGCTCAGCCTACTGCTCTGTCATATCGCCCAACGGGGGCACCTTATTGCCCTTGCTAAAATCGATTCCTCACACGACCAGAAATTCGATGCAGAGAGAAAAGACAGGACCAGCGACCAATTCGGCCACCCTAATGTCCATATCCTATCCTGGTGGCAAAGTGAGCTTCTAGCATGGCGGAACTACAATCATGTTCTATTCGGGGTAGCCCCTGATAGCTAAAGAACTGCAACTGCAATCCGGCGCCGGAGCCCTGGGTCAGTTGGATACCCCCTTGGCCCGGTAAGCTACTCGGCGGCCGGGGTGGATCGGATACATACGACTTCGTGTGGCAAATCCATAGAAAATCACTCGCAATGATCTTAGATGATGCTCTGGACAGCCCCAAAGCAGCATCTTGAAGCCGTAAACAGACTCTTGGAGCCAGGTTTGGCTCCATGACCAGATATTCTGTATCCCCTCAGGAGACATATTTTCACCAAGTAGAAGAACCTTGTAAACCCCACAAAGGGCAGCTTTTCACACATCAAGCCAACTTGGAATATCAGAAGCTGACATGCCCTATGATGCTTCAGACTCAGATCCCAGCAAGTTCCCACTAACTCCAATACCAGCCTGTAATATTTTTCACAAAGCTAACATAATCTAAAAAAAGAAAGCATATTTTTCACCAAGTTAGTCATCCCCGCAAAGCCCATAAAACTTAAATTATTATATTTACACCAAGTCAAGGTATATTTATGTTAAGTTGAATACTAAAACTCAAGTAAAGTCGTATGAATACATGTTTTTATACAAAGCTGCCATAGAATATTTTTACCAAGTTAGGCACCTCCACAAAACCCATAAAACTTATAGTATTATATTTATACCAAGCTTAGGCATATTATTTGTAATATGTTCGCAAGGAACTAGTCATGTTATTGGTAATAGTTACGATAGTTGACAGGTAGCCTGCTCTACCAGAGAGAAGGTGAGAGTTGAGAACTAAAGAAGACTTTGAAGGTGTACTGAGAAAACAAAGGAGTAATCATTCAACAAAGTATATTGAAATACTATCTGTTGAAGTCTGCCTTTTCCATTGTGGAATCAGGCGGTCTTTGAATACACAAATCTGTTCATGTCTAGTATGAACGAAACTAATCAAAGGTATCAAGTGATACACTTTGGTAAAACTACTTAAGTATAAAAACAATACTTAAAACAAAACCAAGTATCAAACAATACTTAAAACAAAACCAATTATTAAACAATACTTAAAACAAACCAAGTATCAAAGCAATACTTAAAACATAAAATGAAACCAAGTAACAAATGATACTTAAAACAAACCAAGTATTAAAGTGATACTTAAAACAAAACATAAAACGAAACCAAGTATCAAACGATACTTAAAACAAACCAAGTATCAAAGCAATACTTAAAACAAAACATAAAACGAAACTAAGTATCAAATGATACTTAAAACAAACTAAGTATCTGTAATGATCCCTCCTTAGATAGTTAGTTCTTGGCGACGGGAAACGATACTTCTCTTCTCTTTCTATTTCTTTCCTTAGTCTTACGATAGCACTAGGCCTCTGCCTATATTACAGATAGTACAAGACCTTTGTCTTCTATCGGGAACACCTATCGTAAGCTTTCTCTAACTCTTTTTTGTGACGAACTTTCCTTGTCGTAACGATAGCGTTGCAATAAAGATAAAGATTGTAAGGTGTTTTATATTTGTTAAAGTAATAAATAGGAAAAGTTCTTAGAATTCAATCTAATTTTATTTAAACTTGTACTGCCAACACTGGCATATGACGAGCCCCTGCTGGCACAGGGATACCGCTAACCGGTATACCACTAATCCTAATCTAACTAGATCTATGGCCCTGCACCTGCCATCCCCGAGTCATACCTGCACGAGAACTAATTACAAGACCATCAAACCACCCAGTGCCCACTCTGGTCCAAGTCCGTAGCCCCTCTGGTATGAAGCCAACCAGCACTAAGCGTAGCTGAAGTCGAGCAAAAGACTGACCCAACCAGGTTCCTCATCCAACAATCAAAATATCACTACCACCTGGTCTAAATACCGTCCCGTAATACCTGCACTACAGTAGAAAACCAAACAAAACACACAAACTAAACCTACAGGCGACACAATGGCAGAGAGGAGGTAATGAACATGTCCACCTCTCACACCCACATGCCAGGCCATTGACCCTATGAACCCACTTTGCCGGGTGCCTCGGAGGAGCGTAGCGGTGAGGAGGACCTGTACCTGATGCCTGTCCCCCAAACAAAAATACTATAAACAAAGGAAATACATAGAGGTGGTGACAGACAGTAAAGGTCAGTGGGGCCTATCTCCTACCCGTGGTGCCTTGTCTCCTCCTGCTGTACCTAGAACTAAACCAAAGAAACCAAACAAACCCCACAAAACCCAGCACGCAAGACCCAAACAGGTCCAACCAGGTGGTCGTAACCCACTATCCGCACAGGTGGCCATC